TATATGCATGAGAAATTTTTGACAGTAAACTGCCGGCGTGCGTGAATATTAGGTTGGCCTGTAAGTTAACATCAACCGAGGCCATATGTTGACAAGGGATGCAAAATCACAGTTACATAAAAGAACTGGTCAGATTTTCCAGAAATCCCTTCAATTCTGATATAAAATATGATGCTAAAAGACTGCAGATCTCCCATTTAGATGACCGGTCATATGGCCGGAAGATGTCTCGTAGAATTCCCAGCGAGTTTTGCTTTACATAAAAATTTGTGCTCTTTTATCTTCATTTTGACTCACTTCAAAGTTGGTTCCTTTAATTCAAGTTGGCATTCGGTTTTTGGAATTCGAATAAGTTCTCAGCAAAAACGTTTGTTTAAAAAAATACATATGTGTACATAGTGCTTGAAAATATGAATTTTTCTATTACCTTAAACCTTTGGGAGTGGGCAAAGATTATGTTTTTTAATTTAGGCAGAATTGAATATGCGCTATCTGGGAAGACAATATCTACGTGTAATATTTATTCTGTTTGTTGGCACTATATCCAAACACAAACGCATCTTAAGAGTCTTAACAGTGAAACAATTTCTTATTTTCTAAGTTTGCGAATACAACATCACACTTAAAATTAAGACATTTATAACAAACATTTTATGAAGAAAAACCCTTCTTCGTTTAAAATAAAAATAAGCGAAATCGGCCCAATTTCATACAATCCTGCCTGACATGAAAATTTTCTCCACGATAAGGCTGGTAGCCATTTCTAACAGATTTTGGGTCGCTTAGTCAAAAATGGAAACATATATACACATTTTAAATTTAAGAAAACAATGCAAATAGAAAAATCGGCTAAAAACGGCTAGTTTTTTTCTGCAACGGCTAAATCTAGCGGGAAAACGGCTAAAATGGCAAAACTGCGTGTGAAAGTGCCCAAAGGTACATATGTACGTAACACTGGATACACACGACGAACATGTGCGCGCACATGTGTGCCAACATGCTCGCTGTCGTTTGCCACTGACGGTGCGCAGCTCAAATGTGATTTTGTTGCGATAACCACAGATCGATTTTGGCTGTTTATGTTTTGTTTATTTAATGCTTATTATTCATTTTCCACAACTGCTAAGCAAATTATATAACAAACAACATATAAATCCACATTTCAAGCTGCGTGCAAAAAATATAAAAAATCTGCCAAGCTTCAGTCAACACTGCATGCAACCCTACATATTGCTGAATGGATTAGCGGCATGTAGCCACCTATCCGTGAAGCTTCTGCTGAAAATTTTCCAGTTTGGTAAATTGTATTTTGATTTTTGTGCTCGTGGTTTGTAATTAAGTTAGTTTATATATAAAAGTAATAATATTAGGTCAATGTTAAATTTATATCGAAATACTGAATGTTTTTTAATAGAACAAACGAAGCTGAATTAGTCGCGTTTGCGCTGAATTGGCATCGGCAACCCGAAGCAGATCGAAAAACGAGTACGAGGGACTCTTATTCCAAATAGTAATTTCAAAATGGCGTCAGTGATTTTTGGTGGTATTTAGTGTCTGTTTAGCGAAGTTTCCGCGGTATTTGTGCAGCTGAAAAGTTAAAAAATTCTGAAAGATAATAAATCTTATGTGATACGCGCTGTTGTTGAAGGATATATATATTTCTAGCAGTTGTGCCTTTTAATTTTCATCTAGTGATAATTCACGTAAAAATGGCGCATGTAACTAAGGAAGCGATGTAACTTTCTTTTTTTACAACTTTTCGATTTTGTGGAGTGCAGTATATGCTTATCTAGAAAACAAGTCGTACAGCGCGTTGTGAATGTTATAACTTGCACTCCTTATTGCAGTGTGACAAGTGGCAAGTGGTACAGTCCGAGGTAGAACACGGCATACATCGTTTTTTATTGCCAGCGTGGGAACATACGGGAAAAACTTCATATATACCTTTTTAATTACCGAAAAATTGAAAAAACTTCACAAAACGTGAGTGTAGCAATTGCTTATAGAGTGAAAAAGGCGGGTAAAGGAAAACATTATCGTTAAAATGTGTGCAGCACATAGTAATCCGCAACAGGGCTTCGGCTACACCTGGGGCTTCGCAGACAATACACGGACGGAGTCTGTATTAGAAATTCCGGCAAATATAAATTACACAGTCAGCAGCGAATCCGTAAGTGAGCAGAATTAAAAATTCGATTTAATGATTTCTTTTAGAACTAAATAGTATCGAGACGCGTTTTTTGCTTCGCTACCACCAATGTAATGTTTTCAAAACCTCGCTGTCTCAATTGGTGTCTGTGTACGAGACAACCCCCTCCCTGGATTTCTCACATTCATGAATACTCGTACACGTAGTGCGTGTACTTTTTGATATAAGTGCATATATATATGTACATATATGAATCTATACATACGATTTGTATGTACGTATATAAGGTGCACATGTGTGTTCCTTCTGTGCCTATACGTACAGATGATTGTGTGCGACTATACGTATACGATGTTTTATGTAACGCTACCTTTGTCGTTATCGGCTGCGGTCACACTTTGTCACATGCATGAGTAGTGGACATTGGCATTTGTTTTGCATTTAAAATGAGCTGCTGTTGATAACGAGCCAGGGGAGTGAAATAAATCTGATTCTAAAAATATACATTTTCTCCCATATATAAATTTATGCTTTGAATCGTGAATTAATTTTAAAATGGCGACTGTAAATTCGCCTCGTTTTGAGCAAATAGTGGCAGACAAGGCGAATTTATATAAATTCGCCTTGGCGGCTGAACGACGACGAAATTATCAACGCAGGGTTGCATTATTTCGTCTAATTTGCCGAATTTCGAGCGAAATCGTGCTGATGTTGACGGCATAGCATGCCGGGCATATCTTTTGCCAAGGTGTATTTAACATAAATACGCCTTGCTCTTTATTTCATTCAATAATGTATACATAGTGTATACATGTAACACATAGCTACATTGAAAGGCAAACATTGCATTTTGATATCTTTGGGATGGTACACACACAGCTTCAATTGTCGCGCTGAATTCACACAACGAAACGCATTGTTGGTTGTGTTGTGTATTTTGTATTGTCGAGTTTTTGGCGCAAAAATATACTGTCAAAAGTCGACCTGTGGAAAAGTTGCGCGCAGTACGGTTTGGCTTTGTATGCGTAAAAGGAGGTTTGTATTTGTTTGTTTACATTTTTATGTTGTAAGTTCTGATTGGCATGTTTGGTTTATAAGCTGTTGC